ATATGGGAATCGCACACAACGCATGCCAATTTGAAATTGTGTAATACGTGAATTTAAGATGACAGATCACTGATCACAGACGACGCGTCTCCATGGGAACAGCCATAACATCTTTCATATGGATCCGGTTCCTTGGAGTAGTTGGACTTATAGGACGTGTGGAAGTTCTGCCTCCCACTACGACATAGTGCCAGGCCTTGTCTGCAAGCGGAACTGGTAGCCACCAAGGTCATCTTCCTAAGCGTCTTAAGTTGTCTCACCATTGATGTAACCCACCTGCTTCAAAAACAAATTCATGCATAAGTAATTCTGATAAATACCAGACTATACATTTTCACACATTTGTCCAGTAATTCACTCTGAAAAATGAAGTCACCATGAAATAATTCAGTGTTCCAAGCGCAATTCGACACTAAAAGTTAAATTTTTCAACATTTCTTTCCGAGCAAAGATGGAATAGCTTCATGTCCTCATACGCTGGAAACCATATAACAATTAGTTTGTTTTTTTTAATTCATGGGTCCTCACTCCAATGGGACCATACATTTTCGGTATTGAAAGAGTGTAAAAAGGAGCGGTACATCAACCAATGCAGTAATTTGAAAACGATTCAAAATTTACTTCCTGTCGAGTTCCAGTCGTTCCAAGACGCCATTCACTCACCCCGTAGATGTCTTGGAACCAATAGAATACAGCAGATTGTAACAAAACACTATTACTATAGACAAATTGCAGTAAAAAACCACTGCCATTTGGTAAGGGGAAAAAAATTTTCCTGAAGAAATACAGTATATTGAAAATTTACGCGCAGTGAGAAAGCTCGCAAACTACAATGAAGAACCTACAGTTTTGTTTCAATGTGTAAGGATTAAAAGAACACGATTAACCTTTACTTGCTGCATTTGAGAAGACGCATGTTCGGCAAGAGTGTCGGATGTACTTGGAGATGCTGTGTGGGGAGGCGATGGAGAAGGGGGCTCCTGCTGGAAAAAGGCCTTATCTCGCACCCAAAACCTACAATAGAAATGGTGCATTTTACATGGTATATTTGGGATAACCTCATCCAAAAAAAGAATGGGACCTTTCGCCAAAATAACCATTTTTGGTGGAAATGTCCCTTTCCAGATTGAGGTGACATCAGTACTGAATCAGAGTTGCTGCCCATTATGCCTCACATGAGAACTTCAGCCCAATCTTTTTGGGGGGACGCCAGCTATGTCCACCCAATTGTTCCTGGTCAGGTGAGGAGCTCATGGAGCTGGGTTACCGACTAGGGGAACGGTCCATGGAGCCGCTGAAAATGGAGTGCCTGGAGGAATAGAGCCTGGAGCAAATGCAGAGGTTATTCTGAGACATGAGGCCATCCTAGTGCTGCCACCAAGGTAACGGTATCTGCGCCTGCTGTTCCGACACAATCGACGTGCCTAAACAAACCTGACAGCAGTAGTAAAGAAAACGTAATTGAAAGAAAATGAGCTTTAAATAAACATTTTAGACGGTTGTTATGAACTAAAAAGTTGCAACTAAGTACCACTTTCTCTCACCTCCTTGAAGCTGCAGGAAAGGCGCTCCCCTCTCCCCCTCTCGATCTCTCGGGAGGAAACTCTTCTTGAACCAGGGAGCAAACTGCCCAAGACCTTCTGACCTTAGGCCATGTCAACTTATGTCACCCACATTCTGTAAATGGCCACGATGACTGGAGAAGCTCAGTCTAGTATAGGAAGCAGCAGGAAACATCAAGTTGTCCTATTGGAACCAGCTGCAAATGGTCGAAACTGAACTGCTTTCAACTATAGGACTAACTTCAGTTCTACTCATGAATTTAAAGTCTGTCCCTCTCAATTCAATCTTGCGAAAATCCAATATCCCCAAAAATTCAAGGAATCTGATAATTTCCCAATGAAATTAGTTCTAGATTCGAAAATCAAACAAAATCTATCAAATTCCAGTAGTTATTTGAAGAGCAAAATTGGAGAACGATTTATCATACAAAGCATCAATTATAAGTGCTGCCATGCATCAATCTTAAGTAATTAAGCTCGATGGAAGACATGTAATTGATAAATTTAAACACTGCAATCTTCAACAATTCCTCCCTCAATATATACATATATAAATCAAGTAGACAACGTTTGCACAGATTTGAACATTTGAATTGATTTGAATGTAGTCCTGTGCTTGCCTTTAAACTTAGAATGGTGCTTGCAACAAAAGGCACCATTTATCATACCATGAGAAGTGTGGAACTATTTCACTTCAATCTAAGTTCTAAGTACCCAACGTGACCATGCCATGTGACTTAATGGCGTTGGACGATGTTAGGGTTAGTTAGTTAGGGTCATGGGTTAGAANCACCATTTATCATACCATGAGAAGTGTGGAACTATTTCACTTCAATCTAAGTTCTAATTACCCAACGTGACCATGTCATGTGACTTAGTGGAGTTGGACGATGTTAGGGTTAGTTAATTAGTTAGGGTCATGGGTTAGAACTAAAGCCATGTTAGCTAAGGATGGTTTGGGTAGACAAGGCCACGTTAGGTTTAGTCGAAGGCAACTAGAAAAATTTGGTCTTAGTTCAAGCTTACTTTATTTGTATATATTGAGGTTAGGTATAGAAGTTCCTTCATTCCTATTCACAAGTATTTGCTTCGAAGTAACTATTTTAATTACACAGTGAGACACAAATTTAACATAATTTACTTTTGAGGCGAAAAGAGGTTCAGCAAACGAAAGAGCGAGGCGGTATTCTAATCAGTGGGAAAAAATCCGAAACTCTAAAGCAAGCAGTTCCAGACTATGCTAACGAGCCCGAGAGCTCCGAGCTCTGCCCTTCAAGACGTCCCTACTGCCCCCACAGGTGCCATTTAACTATGGGTTATATTTGACGAGCCACAAGGAGCTTCTCCCCTCTCCATGAAAGTGTCTGGAGCACACCCTGCATCTGCAAAAAAAGCAATTATGGAGATGAATTTCGATGTCTATACACTTCCTCTCATGAAACACATGACCCTGATAGGAAAAATTACGTCAATTGATTCTTGCCATGAAAAGACATACATATAAATGTGCATTTCTGCATTAATGATTGCGTATATAAAGTATTTATGTAAGCATAACAAGATGTCAACTTCCTTATAAAAAAAAACTGAAGATGCGAGAAGGTTATTCCACATGATTATCTGATTTGATGGGAAGAAATTTGTTCCAATTGAATTCCAGGATAAGGAAAGGGCAGGACAAAGAACCAATATTTCACCGTGCCAGATCGATTTACTTTAGTTGATCCCTTTCTATGGATCTAACCACAATAGATTTAGTTTTACAAGTGAACGGGAGATAGTTATATTTAAAAAAAAATTCAGACTGTCCACATCTAGTAATCATATGCTTGATGCTGAATATTCATCAATGAGACAATTAACCTGAACTTTGTACCTCTTGAGAGATAATTGTTGCTCGGCGAGGAATTCCGGTAGGCTTGGAGGTGCCAGGCGATGGAGAAAGGAGCTCCCGCTTGAAGAATGTCGTCCCACTCACCCAACACCTGGAATAGAATTGTTGCATTTCATTTAAGAGAGCCTCATCCACGAACAATGAAAAGAAATTGATCTCTTACCACAATTACATATGTGCAGAAAATATTACCTCATTGTTGAGGCGGAGTGACTTGGACACCGATGGCGAATCAGGGTCGTTGACCATCTCGCCTCCCTAGAAACCCTCGGCCTGATCCTCTCGGGGGACATCAGCCACGTCCACTCAGTTTTCCCCGATCGGGTGAGGAGCCCGGTTAAGGGCTGGGGGAGCGGTCAATGAACCAGTAAGTGATGGAGCAGCTGAAGCAACACAAGGAAAAAAAGTAAGGAAACCAGGAATATTAGATATTTTTAGAATTTGGAAATTTGATATGAAATTCCGCACATCTGAAATTGAGTTGCCGTATTTGCTCCCAATATTTCATCAGAATCAAATTTTTTTTTTCCCCAGGTAATAGCAATCTCAATTTTCTTTTCGCCGAATCTCCTGCAGACCTTCAACTACTGAATAAAGAATGAATTCCGAACCTTAAAGGATCAGATTCCGAAAGGATTCGTTCTGGCTGTTTTTTTTTTTTAGTTCGATTGCATGCAGAATTTCACAAAAACGAAATTTCAATTACCAGGAGCATATAGATTGAACTTTGGATAGGTCCCTTAGTGACGAGTAAACATGGGGCAATATATTAAGAAATGCATGAGGAAATATAGGATACATAAGGAAGATAAGGTTCAAATAAATATTTAAAAATGAAATGCGAAGGTATTTAACAGTATAACAATCTTTGAAAATGTAAAAAATATTTACTTTGAGTTCTGCCTCTCACGGCGATGTAGTAACAGGCCTTGTCTGCAAGAACAAGTGACCAAAGTCATCTCCCTAAGCTTCAGGAATCGTCTCTCCTTCGACGCAATTCACCTGTTTCAAAAACAAATTGATGCATAAACAATTCTGATCGAGACGAGATGATAATTATCAGAAAAATGTGCGAAAATGCAACACTGAATAATGAAGTCAGCATGAAATGAATCAGTCTTCCCACAGCAGCTCGGCTGAAGCATAATTTTTCAGTGTTTCTGCAGGCCTATACATTCGGCACCCAGGTCGTCGGACTCCACCCGACTTCTGGCTTTGGGTTATCATTCAAGACTAGGTATTTTTGCCGAAAATCCGATGTATCAGCTGAAGCAGGGGCGTCAAACTGGCGGCCCGCGGGCCGGATCCGGTTAGCCAGTCTATTTCGTCCGGCCCACAAAGTCCTCTTCAACAGCTAGTTACGGAAACAAACTGTAAATTTCAGCTTATTTGCATTAAAGGTGTTGCAATTTCGTCGTGGCCCTAATCACCCCTGAAGGCGTTCATCCCCACCGTCTAATCGAGTTTGGCACTCCTGACCTAAAGCAACGCATCACTGAGAATACTGCCGGAGTT